TACTGGCGAGAAAGTATTTAATTTCGAAAATAGGTATTACGTTTTTTGTACATCACGAAGAACCATGTCTCGTTTCCGTCGGTCTGTTCGCTAATCCTTGACCGGTCTATAACTTGGAAAATACTTGTCAGATTTGGATGAAATTTTCACACAATGTTACTACTATGCCAAGGACGAAAACGCTTTGTAGTTTTTGAAAATCGGTCCAGTGGCGACGAAACTACGGGCAATAAACGAACAAAACTAAAGCTCGGCTTTTCGATTTTTCAGAGAATTCTGCTAATTTTTTCGAGGGGTTATTTTTTACTTATTCACCCTGTGTCTTTTACGTTTAAACTTTGGGATATATGAAATTTGTTGTGAAAGTAGATTTTTCTATATCCCCACTCCTGACTGCATTACAATCAAGTTACAAGTACTGTTCTTTGCAGATCGTCAAGCCAGAGTTCCGGATTTGTGTCTCATCATCCAGATGCGCATTACAATTCGTTACCAGCCTCCAGAGAGCCTTCACTCTCCGGAGACGTCGACAGAGCCTCAATCCTATCAGAACCTGCCTACCATTTACAACCAGTGGAGCACCAACAATACCGAAATGGTTTCACAGCCTCCCCTCAAAATGGTTTCGCCAGATACCCACAAAATGGAGTTTCCGAAACGAAACTGTACTACAGAGGGGATAACAATACCTTCTATCCTGTTTTGAGTCAGAACAACATGCTGGTGTTGAGCTGTTCACCTCAAGGTAATTTGGGCGGTGCTTTTGCCATGAGAAGCATGAGTATCAGCCCTGAGATGGTGATTTGTGATAAACCTGCGTACAATGGGCTGTTCAAGAATATCAATGGTGATAGTAAGAGTTTTAAAAAGATGTGATGGCGAGCTGGATATTAGTGACATAGTGGAAGGTGGATATTGCCTTTGTACGGGTTGCTGGCATTGTAAACCAGCATTATCTATGTAGCAGATCTAGATCGAATTTTCAGAAACTGAGGAGGAAACAGCAGCAGTAGACTTATAAAACAATATGTCGTCACAAGTTTTTCCTCGATTTTGGTTGGAAGACAAGCGTAATTCGACATTTAAGTTGCATGTTTGATGACGATGCGTCGATTACAACAAGGACGGTAAACAAGACTTTAGTTGACGAAAATCCCGTAACATTTTATATAACCTAATAGATCAGACCCGGTTTATATCAGTGAGAAAGGCGTTAATTTGCGCTGGTTTCTCGGAAATGCTCTTAATATTAGGTCAAACGTAACATCTCAACCACCAACTATACAGGGTCTGTCGAAGCTCAATATCCTCGTTACTATTAGAGTTGCAGAAAAAAGTTACATATAAAAGTTGTAGGCAGAGCTAAGGGCTACAACCTAAAATTATTTTTAGCTGTACAGGGTACTGCTCAAAAGCTATTAAAAAAAACTATTTCCAGTGGTACGCCTTAGGGCACTGTATTCGGAAATCGTTGAATAATAATACAATGAATGTCATTGAATTTTGCCCCTTTCTGGAAATACCACGTACTTATAGATTCTTTTTCAAGTACCTTTACCCTGAAGATCGATAAAGCCCCAAGACGAATCTGTTGCAATGTGGTTAATTTAATGCTAGCATCAATACTTTTTACCTGTGTCCACACGTGTTGAGATATCAATCGATGTCATTCCAAAAAAACTGCTTTTGAACAGAAGTTGAGCCTGTTTGCAACAGACTGTGCTAAGCAACTCTAACGTTTCGTTCTGTCATGAACCTTCAGTAGCGGACAAAAGTTTGGAAACATTCTTAGTAATTTTTAAGAAGTGAGCTAATTTTTTATTCTTTATTATTAACGACTATTTTTTTCTCATATAGTTTGCTTACATTCTTGCGGATACAAATGGCAATTTGTGTTTGCTGTGATACTACAGACTAGCATTAAAATACCTTCATATTATTTTATGACCAAAAATGAGACGACGAAAGTATGGAAACATATTTTTTATTACAAAATTAAATACTATAACTCTACAAAAAGATTTAAAAAATACTGTTTAGCTATTATTTGGTAGCATAGAATTTAGCATTCAATACTGACATCTGCTGCTCATAGAAGACACTGATTTTTACAGAGGTCTGTTGGGATATTTTGCCAAACATTTTTTACATAATCGAATAAATCGTTCCTATTTTTCTTGTCAGTTGTCTTTTAACATCCCAGAGCTGTTCTATAGGGTTTAGGTCCGGGGATTGCGAAGGCCATGTAAGAAGATTAACATCTTCTAGTCTTAACCAGTCCTTTACGAATGTTGAGGTATGCTTGGGGTCATTATCTTGCTGGAATGTTCATTGTAAAGGCATTTCTTCTCCAGCATGTGTTTACTTAGACTATCTTTGTAAAGTTTTTGATCCATTTTCCCAACAATTTTAACAATTGGATCCGTTCCAGAACTAGAAAAACAACCTCAAACCATGATGTGGCGTCCACCGTGCTTAACTGTTGGCAACTGATACTTTTTGCCGAATCTTTTTCGAATTGGACGTCTCACATATGCCGCACCGTCATAAAACTGTATTCTCTTGTTGTTCTGTCCAAGTTAGATGAGTTTGACCAAATTCAAGCCGAGCAAGCCTCTATACACTGTTTTGACAGAAACATTCTCGGTACCCTCTTCTACGATTTTTTTTAAAATGTGTGTGTAGCGATCCAAAACATCAGTTTTTTTGTCTTCCGCACCTGGGCCCCGTTGCTGTCGATCCGTATTCTTGATACTTACTAATAATTTTCGAAATCGTCCCTTTGTTCATTTTTAATCTTTTAGAAATGTCGACATTTCTGACACCATTTCTAAATAATTCAAATACTTTGTCTCTTAAATCTTATGAAAATTCTTATACTGTTGTCATTCTCACTGATGTTAATATTTACCGCACGCAATGTCGTTTATCGCAGAACGAATAACTACGGCAAAACTGTGTCCATATTTTTGTCATTACACAAACTGTGTTTTTTATTTTCAGAAAATTTAAATATTAATAAGAAGAATATTTTTATTATCTGTTCATTCACAATTTTTATTTAGGTATATGAAATAGTTCATAATGATGTTAATATTTGTTTCCAAACTGTTGTCCGCTACTTTACATAAAATTGATATCGAACAGATAAAGTATTATGGGATCTGGTCCAAATATGTTAAGCCGAAATTGTTGGATAAGACGTTTTGGATTGTCTAATCGTTGAAATACTTGTATTCACTTGAAATGATTTTTGTAACATTTGAATGCAGAAAAGCACAATATTTCCAACTTTCTTAAAGATTGTATTTAAAAGAATGTATGATAATCTGGTCACACTATATGATAGGTAGAAATATCGTTTTTTTCTGCAATAATTTGAAAAACTATTATGAAGGGACTTGAAATTTTTGAACATTATTCAGACTCCCGCGGACGGAAAAATAAATACTTTCCAGACTCCACATGAAGACTGCCAATACAGAACCATTTGGTAAAATATTTACTCCTATACAATAGAAAGCTTTAGAAATACAGGGTGGCCGATATGTAACTGACTGGTTTGTATCTTGAATGTTTGTGAAATGAAATAAAATACGTCCATTTTTTTCATGTTAATATTTTATTGAAACTTAGAAATTATGTATGAAAAATGATATCAGACAAATGTCCGCCTCTAGGATGACATTTTCCATTACTTTTTGGTAGGTTTCGGGAGGAATATTTTCAATCGCTTCCGTAATATTGTTCTTCAGCTGCTCTACAGTATTTCGTTTGTTGGCATAAACCCTATTTTTAAAAAATCCCGATAAAAAACAGTCTGGAACCATTAAGTCCGGTGACCTTGGTGGCCAGTTGGCATCACCAAATCGAGAAATTAAACGTCCCGGAAATATTGTTCGCAAAAGATTCATTGTTTCGCTAGCTGTGTGACAAGTTGCTCTGTCCTGCTGGAACCACATATTTTGCAGGTTAAATTGTTTAATTTGAGGAGCCAGAAAATTATGCGCCATATCGCGGTAGCGCTCGCCAGTGGCGGTAAGTGAATTACCTGCAGCGTCTTCAAATAAGGTCCAATGACACCTCCATACCACACACCGCACCAAACTGTGATTCGACGAGGATGTAATGGTCGTTGATGGATGACAAGAGGGTTCTCTAATACCCTGATACGACAATTCTGCTTATTAATAAATCCGTTCATATCGAAATGGGCTCATTATCAGTTGTCGGTAAAAATTGTTATTTTGGGTATTAAGCTGCAATATTGCATGATTGTATTGTCGGCGACCTTCATGGTCACTAGGCTGTAGTTCTTGGGTTAACTGAATGTTGTACTTTAAACAACTACTACGGCGCCACCTACTGAAATGCGTGTATCAAAAATGGCGCGCAATTTAAATCAGTCAGTTATTTATTGACCACCCTGTATTTTAAGTAACATAAACTGTGATTCAACCAAGTACGTTTGGTTGATTTTAGTGTTCGTATGTTCAATGTATATATTTTAGTTGGCTCCTTTTTTAAATTACTTTATATTGTAAAATGCATAATCTGTGTATGTATTGAATAATTTGAATCATTGTTTCTGAATGAATTTTCTGTTAATTTATCTTAAAAAAACGTGGTTTTCTCATATCAAATACCTTTGATTTTAAACATATTCCGAGCTGTACTTAAACACTATGAATTTATTTTTGATTTCAAACAAAACATAAACTGTTCACTGCCAGTTGCAATTTACCTCACCAATATCCGATTCTTATATATACTTTGTATATATATATATACATTAATTTTTTATTTGTACAGGATGTATTTAAAATCTCATTAGCTGTGTTGTTTATGGAAGGTTGTGCATAATAAATCTTGTAACTTCACGAACTTTCTTATTTTTCGGACAGGACGAATTTTTGGGAAATACGGTCGACATTTCCAATTAAGCATACGAAAAAAGAAAACTGCAAAGCCTATTCAGCTTTCATTTGAAACAAACAAACTATTATTGAGAAAACTTTACTTCCATACATGCACATTTTTCATCGCACTGTTTGACGCATGCTGTTTTGATGGGATCATACTTGTCTGTTCTGGGATGATCGATAGGAAAAGGCCTGAAATACTGCCCGTACTTTCCTCTGACAGGTGTTGGTAGTGTCCTATATTTATGAAAAGAATATTGTTAAGATAATGCAGGTGTATTTATAATTTCAAAAGCGAAATAATCTTTGAATGGCACAGTGGGCCAGGGACGTACAAAACCAGGCAAAAAATCCCCATTCATGAACTTATGAATCAAAATGTTCATTCCCGTGTTTTTTTTGTACGCTGAGATTATTTTTCATAGTTTTTGTACGGCGTAGAGTGAGTAAAGAGACTAAATTAGGAAAATTTAGCTTTATTCTGCAAAAGCTACAACATTTGCGCAATACTGTGTTTGAAAAACTACTAGACAATTCAGTCCTGTAAGAATATTTGTGAGTTAGCTCAACTTTGTTGTAGGAATAATTATTCAATTGAAGTCATTCCATAGAAATTTAATGACTACCTGAATATTACACCCCGGATTGACATCAATATGCTTGTTCGTTTGCAATCTCAGTGATTAAAGAAAAATGTCCCTAGTAAGAGTATCTATTTAAAAAACAGTGATTCCATGAGGCATCCCTAGTATTTTACGATCTTTATGTAAATTTGATTTGTTTAAAATCTTTTTGCTTGTCATATACATAACAGCGCAATACCTCTGAGATAAGCCGTTTCTAACTCCCTGAAAAAGGCTCACTTTATAAAATTTGTGTGAAAGATCAAGAGCAAGAGTTACAATTATTCACAAATTGAAGGAAAACATCAAAAATAATGAAATACCCGATATTCTTATTTGTATCTCTCACTCACTGACTATTACATTTTGAAGAACGGAAAAAACCTGTGGTGTGTATTTTAATTTTCCTCCAATGAAAACATTTCTAGCCCAAATATTTAAAAGTTTATAATATGTTTATGTTTATTCTTACCACCGAGTGAATTTGTAGGAGTTATCATCTGGCGCAGCGAAATCGCACTTATGCGAAGTCACGTTCGTCATCCTTGGATCTGGCGCATCCAGATGCCATTCAGATTTTTTCTCTATCATTAATCCATAACCAGTTATATTCCCCTAGAGAGTGCAAGAAAAGTTCGTCATAATTCTGCTGTTAAAATAACTACAAAAAAGCAAGAAATAATCGATTTGCATCGATTTTGAAATACCTACAAAATTCGTCTGTTACACTGATGACTAATCATTTTGCGGCATGGGAGGTTGAAGTCAACTCCCAGTAAGATTGAGAGTGCTGTGGATTGAAAAATGTGGAAAGCAGGGGAAGGATATGCTTAAGTAGCGTTTCTGAAAACGAATGTCTTTATTACAAATGGGAGAGAGAAAGAAAGAGGATGTGTGCATCCCACGATACACGACCAAATATCAATTACTTGATTTATCTAAAAACATGCCAAAATAATGAGAAAAAAGAGTAGCCGGACCGAGGGCATCCTGCTGAGCCCCATCCAGAACTTTTGGTATCACCTGTGTTCCATAGTACAGATAGCCATAATAAAATTCACCTTTGAAAACCATGTAAATGAAAGCAGGTTATAGCTAGAACAGTTTGCTAATTTTTCTTATATAAAAGGACCTTTGCAATTTATGTTTTGAAAATGACATCATCAAGATGGTCTCCAGACCTCCGAGAACACTCTTCCAAACGGAAGTTCAAATTGCCGAACACTCGTCTGCAAGTTGTTTTTGAGATGCTTTTCTTTCATTTGTTGAGGGTTTTTGGATTAGCATTGTAGATGTCTCCATAAAAAGAAATCGGGTAGGGACAAGTCAATGGTCGTGGTGGCCAATCAATGTACCATCCCCTCGTAATCACTTTTCCAGGGAACATTTCCTGTACGACGCCCATGCTCATGTGACAGATGGCGCCATCCTGTTGAAACCACGTCATGGAGTTATATCCATCAAAATATTGGCTTTAGGGCCAAACAGTATCTCAGCATTCGAACATAACGTTCTGAATTAAAAGTAGTGTCCAGTCAAACCGGTAGTTGATATTGCTGCCCAAACTGTGACTTTTGGCAATGAAGTGTTTTTCGATGCTTCAGCGACGGTTGCTTCGCAGTCCAGTATCGACAGTTTTGCTTGTTAACAAAACCGCGCAAGCATCAACACTGAAAATTCTCATCTTTTTGTAAGGTCAGTGTCGTTTAACTCTTGGACGATTTGAATCTGATATGGATAAAGTTTCAAGTCACGCTTCAACATTCGTCTCAAACTCGTACTCATAGTCGCTGAACATCTACGAGTTGAGAACTCTGGATCGCCTCGAACAGATTCACTTCCTCATTAAATTGGTGCTAGGGCACTGATGAATAAGCTGCAATCCATATTTTACTCGAAATAAACGTCGCACACTGACATTATAAAAACGATTATTCTCAAAGAACGCTTGCACCACGAAGGCGTGCTGCTGCCCCGTAAATCGACTCGCGTCTACTGAAAATGAATGAATCGTATAATCGAACCTCCCTCCAGCGTTTCGCGGTGTTATTTAATAAACAAAAATGCATTTTTTATGGCCCACCCTGTAATAGAGAAAATAATCCTCAACAATCAAAGATGGAGTAGATGTAAACACAGTCATGCACTACGCGCATGAGACTCGAAGGCTGATACATCAAGACTGGGTGGTTTTACGCTCAGAACCACCTTGAAAGTGATAGATAACGAGTTCACCAGTGACTGCTCTATTCATATTGATTAGATTCGGGTACCAAAATGGAAGAGAGTAGCATTTGATACTTCGTATGTCACTGCTAGCGCGGTTTTCATTTGTACCGGCAAAGTCGGTGTGCGGGGATCTCACCGTATTCAAAGACATACCGCGCTAGCAGTGGCGTACGATGTATTGTGCTGCTCTCTTCCGTTTTGGTACCAGACTATAACATATTCCACTGAGTTTAATTCTCTATCTTGGATTTAGACAGAGTTGCCAGATATTTTATTTACGTAACTTACATAGCTTTCAGTGAGTTCCATCTCTTTACTAGGAGCATTTTCACTGGGTATGGCTTTCATTAACCTCTTGTAAAACTGTGGTAAATGATTGTAAGACAAATCGTATGTGGTGGAAAAGTTATTGAAAAAACTTGGTTCTTCGTCGCTACTTTTTTCTGGACAAATTGCCTGGAAATAGTTTTTTTTTGTTCTTTTAATGACACAAATTATTATTTCAAATGTCATGCCCAAATAGAAAACAGGACGTCCGTTCTTTCTATTACTATTCTACATTCAGTTCACTAGAGTATAGTAATTACAATTATTATCGTTATATTTTCAGTTCCGTTTTTAACAAGTGTATATATATTTTTTATCTTCTTTTATCTTTTTCCATATTCTTCCCTTTTTCGCTTTCTGATCTTTTTTTTTAATTTCCTCTTTCCCATGCATTTTTCAAACATCATTTTATAAAATTAAACCTATTTTACTATTTTTAAACAAAATTTCAACTCAATGGATCTCAGTATTGTATACTAAGTGACATATAAATCCGAACACCCAGTTTAAATGGTTTTATTTTAATAAAAGTTGGTGAATGTATTTATCTTACTGTAAATAACAAGTGAAAAAATTTTCAGCCTTATCAGTTGGGCATTTCGGTTTTTATACTGCTTTTTTTTAATTCACCAACGCTCTAAAAATGAATATTTCAGCCGCAGTAAAGAATCAACGTTGGCGGATTTTGGTTCTTGACATCCTTTACGATCGGTTACGATGCCTAGAGTACGGAGACCTGTACGATTTCGTCAACTTAGTGAGTTTGATAGGGGCCGTATAGTGGGACTTCGGGAAGCTGAACGTTCTTTTCGGGCAATTGCAGTTAGAGTGCAAAGAAGTGTAGACACTGTGGTTAGGTGTTGTCAGGCATGGCTTCAAGAAGGCCGTACGCAAAGAGCAAGGGGCACTGGACGCCGCCGTAGAACAACAGACCGTGAAGATCGCCGCCTAAGATTATTGGCCTTAAGGGACCGTTTCTCCACTACCAGGTCCATTGCAAATGAATGGTTTGCAGAACACGGAAGACCTATTGGCATGCGAAGTGTTTACCGACGAATGAGAAGTTTTGGCTTGTTTTCATACCGGCCACACTGGGTCCTCCCTTTAACTCGAGAACACCGACGTAATCGCCTTGAGTGGTGCAGACAACGGTCACTCTGGGATCGGGAATGGAACAGTATTGTCTTTAGTGACGAGTCTCGATTTTGTTTAGGCATGCACGATGGTCGTGCCAGGGTTAGAAAGCGACGTGGTGAAAGGAGGAATCCACAGTTTTTTGTTGAAAGACATGTTGATCACACTGTTGGAGTTATGGTTTGGGGTGCTATAGCTTATGGTTCCAGGTCACCTTTAATCTTCATCAGAGGTAACATGAACGCGCAGCGTTATATCCACGAAGTTCTAGAACCCCATCTTTTATCCTATCTTGACACCCTGGCAGATCCAACTTTCCAACAAGATAATGCCCGACCACATGTTGCAAGAGTCACAATAGACTTCTTTCAACATAATGATGTCACATTGTTACCATGGCCACAAAGATCTCCCGATTTATCTCCAATTGAGCACGTGTGGGATATGATGGGTAGAAGATTTGCAACGTCCTCCTCAGACTCTAGAAGCACTTCGAGAGGAGTTGGTGGTTGCTTCGAATGAGATACCACAGGAGGACATTGACCACCTGATCAGAAGCATGCCTAGGCGCGTTGAAGAATGCGTAGCACATCAGGGTGCATCCACACATTATTAAAGGTCAAAGGGCTTTAAAGCAGTGCAATCATTTTGAAATTTTTATCATTTACTTATTATGCTTCATTAAGTACTTATACAAAATTTTATTAAAATAAATCCATTTAAACTGGGTGTTCGGATTTATATGTCACTTAGTATATTTAAATTCAATGGTAAAGGTAAGTACTTGGACAAATTCCTAAACATTTGGTTACTGCCTCATTAGCGCCTGGACATTCCAAAATGCAGTGTTGCAATGCTACTATTTCTCCGCAACCCCAATGTGGATGTTCACCATGAACTACACTTGTCTTATGATACGGTGACAGGACACAGACCCTTCTGATTTTACTTATGTAGTTCGACTTGAAGAGTTTTTTAAAGTTGGTTCCTGTCTGACTGCTTTTGTAATCCTCAGAAAAGGAATGTTCATATAGGGAACGCAATTTCCTCTTTTTATAACCTACTGTCCATAACACTGTAAAAAAAATTATTCCTACATGATTCTTACAAAGTCTGAGCTGAATTTCGCGTCCCAAATGATGGATTTTGGATATGTAGTCAGTGGTTTCGGTTTGAATTCATTCTGATACTCTGAGGAATGTCTGTATCTATTTTTCTTGTAAGCACACTTTTCTTCAAACCAGTTGCCAGTCAAGATCTTCGGGTTGGTATACTTTACAGGCTTCTATAAACAATAAAACCATTTCATTGAGTTTATATTTGCTATGAATTATCTTACAGAAAAATTCTCCAGCCTGGATCCTTCCGCGGTGTACTTTATTCCCATTTCCAACAATAAACAAAAATGAAAAAACACGGAGATAAAATTAGGCCTGCGAGTTCTAGTAATTCTTTAATGACACTGACATTTTTAATTTGAAGGAATGTGAACTTTTACAAAATTCTAAAAAATTATAGGTTTATGGTAAAAATGTTTCGAATTCAAAAATCCTACTATAAATAGAACTGCGTACAGTGTTGCAAACAAAAACCGTACTTCAGCTAAAGATATGAATTTCCTTTTTTTGTTTTGTTTGCCTAATCTCTAAAGTGTTCTTTGTCTTTTATATTATCCGTTTGAAGCAGCGAAAATGAAATTTAGGAAATATGTATGGAGAATGATTTTTTAGGGAGACTCGGCAATGTTGCTTCTTTGAACTTTCAATCGAGTTGGGCGTATTTAGTTACTTAGTATTCGTATGAAGTCAATTGATTATTTATTTAAACCAGACTTTATAAAGCTACTGGTGAAATAGATTTCATCAAATCAATAAAATAGTTTGACTACAGTACAAAAATAGTACGGGCAACAATTATATAATAGTTTTAAATAGAATATTTAGTAACGTTCTTGGTGCTATTCATTTGTTAACACAGGGGTTACAGTTTGTGGCAACTATCTGTGCCTTAGTTATCACGAATCAATGTCAACGAGTCAATGAGTGTAAAAAATAGAGAGCGCTCAAAGGGCGTTTGATAATGTTTGCCGATACTTTTTCATCAGGTACAATGAATCAAAACCACTGAGCAATGTGAACTCTCGACGACATGATGAGAGGTTCGCGCATTCTATTCGCCGAAAGCAAACCGCATAGTGGGGGTAAATAAATCCATTGTCGCGTATGCGGTAGATAAAAAGAGTCATTCAAAATTTTTGATATCCAGGGATCAACTACATTAAATGTTTGACATAGGAGAAAGTAAAACGATAAAACGTACCGGTATTACCAATATAAATGTCACAGTAATATTTATTAAAAAAACTGTAATGAGTCATAAGCCTTGGGAATCAACAATTATTTTTAAAAAGATTATTAATTATAATTATGTTAGAGACATTTTTTATATATTCAGGCAATTCATACTATATCTTAATAATCACATAAATATACGGTCCTATTAATGATTAAATGTATCCAAGCATCTTTTTGTCAGACAAAGGTGCTGTTTTTTCTTAGTATTGTAAGAATCAACTGAATCCCTAATTGGATATTCTTTCAGATGATTGTTAACGTAAATGGCACTAAAAAAATATATGGATGTAACTGTCAGTATTTTATACTAGACGGAAGCTTAGTGAGAAATGTCTCTTCTTCTAATTCTGGATAGTTATCTCACGATATTTTTTGTGATATAAGGACAGAGTTTGTATTAGAGGACTTTCCCCAGCAGATTATATTATAGCTGAATCGCGGATAGACTTCACCACAGTACAAGGTAGGTATATTTTTATCCAAAAGGTAACTCCACTGTTTTCTAAAAAGAAACGACGCCAAATTTATTTTGATACAGATATAAATTGTGTGGATTTTCCATGTAAGTTCAGGATCCAGTTTCACTTCTGTGAAATCTATACATTCTAATTATTCTAAAGTGATTCCATCATGAATCCTCATCAAGATACTTTGATTTCTGTTAATATTTTTAGGTAAAAATTGTAATAATTTAGTTTTCCTGGTATTTAAGGTCACACAATTTTCATTTGCCCAGTTAACTGTATCAATCACATTTTTTCAATTGGCAATAGAGGCTTGACTCTTAATTGGATTAAGTATGAAATTCGAGCCGTCTACGTACAAAACTGGAAGAGTACGCGGCCCAGCAAAGGATGGTAAGTCGTTATTCATGAGTAAAAACAAAATAGGGGCTAGTAAGCACCCCCGTGGAACCCCTACGCAGTTTGGAAATTTGGAGTATTTAACATGACCATTAAACTTGTTATATGTCCACGATTTGACAAATATGAACTGTTTCCAGTTTACGTAGTAATATACTATGTTCAACTGTTTCCCAACCACGGCTAAAGTCAAAGAAAAAACCCATAAGTTTCATTTTTTCATACAGCCATTTTGATTTACAATTTACACTTTCATATAATGCGCTCTTTGTACTCTAATTTTATTGCAATGCCGTGTCGAAATGGAGTACTTATTTCAATCTTATTTAAAAAATCTAACAACAGATTTAGGAAGATTTTCTCAAATATCTCTCTCATCTGACACTGAACGATAGTTTATACACGAGTAGGAATCACCTTTCTGCTTTAATATGGGAGCTTTACGAACATTCCAAAGAAACAGGTCATACTCCTGTTTATATTACAGTAGTTGAGATAGATGTAACTGAGGACCAGAGGGGAATTTTTGAGCAGCAATGGCTTATTCTCAAAATTGGCAAAATAAAATTGGGGTTGGGCATCATTTACCGTCCTCCTCGTTTTAATGTGATGACTGCTTTACGCCAACTGGAAGAATCAATAGCTAATTTAATTCCAGTGACAGATGAATTGATTATAATGGGGGATATTAATATTAATCTATTAAGACATACTAACATAACCAATCAGTTTAATAATTTGCTTGATACTTTCAACTTCAAGCAAGTTGTAATTAACCCAACTAGGTACTCCCGAGACACAGCCAGTTTGATTGATGTCATCATCATGTCCGATGATCATCTCTTAAGTGGCAGTGTCCATCATCAGGACTTGCATCAGCATTCCGATCATCAGCTCATACACTGTTCAATAAATATTAAGATCTCTGCCGTTAGGCCTAGAATTATTAAATATCGTAACTTTAAACACTTTGACATCTATAGCTTCAAACAAGATCTTATAAACTTCCCTTGGTGGCAGGTTATAGACTGTGATAATGTTAACCAGAAGACTGCAATGCTGTCAGATATGATATTGACTCTTTTCGATTCTCATGCGCCAATATGTGAGAAAAAAGTTACCAGGCCACCTTCCCCGTGGTTTACTGATGCGTTGCGTGCGATGAAGAATCACCGTAACTATCTTTTCTCTAAATATAAGCGTACTAAAAATTTACGGGATTGGGCATCCTACAAAGAAATGAGGAATTTTTTTACGTCAGCTGTTCGACAAGAAAAGAGAGCTTATCTTGATTTTGTCAGTCGTACTAAAAAATCCAAAGACATGTGGAAGACACTAGACCAACTTAATATCTATAACAGATCTAAAAAAAATATAGAAATTCCTAACCATCTTAAAAACCCAAATTTAATTAATCAATATTTTACCGACTCGGTGCGACAAATACCTAGCACTGTCGATACGAATACTATTTCTAAATATCTTAATTCCAAATGTACAACTGCAGAATTTGAATTAAAACTCGTTAGTGAAGATGACGTCTTCTGGGCAATATCGGAGATTGGGTCAAACGCCTCTGGTGCAGACGGAATTAGCCTTGACATGGTGAGGTTGTGTTGTCCAACGATCTTACCCGTGGTGGTTAACCTATTTAATTCCTGCATACAAAAGGGCATCTTTCCTGCCCAATGGAGAACGGCTGTGGTCCTGCCGCTGCCTAAAATTAGCAGTCCTAAGGATGTCTCTGATTTGCGACCAATTAGTATACTACCAGTGCTGTCTAAAGTATTTGAAAAGCTTATTTATAGGCAAATCATTACTTATTTCACAGATAATAATTTATTACCCAAGTGGCAGTCTGGATTCCGTAAAGGGTTTGGTACTACCACGGCTCTGTTGAAGGTTCTAGATGACATTCTTTTGGCTGCGGACAGGGGTGAAACTTCGGCATTGGTGTTGTTGGACTTTAGCAAGGCCTTCGATACCCTGAACCATCCATTGCTGTGTGCAAAACTTTTGTACTATGGATTTAAACTTAAGACTATTCAACTTATTCGTAGTTATTTGGATGACAGATCGCAGTCGGTCTCAATTGATGGACTTAAATCAAAATCCTTGAACGTGGATAGAGGAGTTCCTCAGGGATCACTTTTGGGTCCTTTATTTTTTATCATTTTTACTGCTGATATGTCGAAGTGCTTTGGTGACATAAACAATCATAGATACGCTGACGATACACAGATTCAGCTTTCTTTTGTTAAGTCGGACGCAATTGAAGCGGCTAGGAGGCTAAACGAGTGTTTGGATTCAGTTTTTAAATACTCTTTTAATCATGGCTTGAAATTGAATCCTAATAAATCAGCCATAATCTACTTTGGGCCAGCTAAAGATTGGGCGTCTGTAAACTTGGTGATAGCAATGGATGGTGTGGCAATACCGGTTGTTGAGGAATATAAAAATTTGCGCGTTATCTTTGATAACAAGCTTAGATTCCGAAGTCATGTGTCTAGGCTTCTACAAAAAGCCTATTTTAACCTTCGCAATATTTACAAAAGTAAAGATATTCTTAGTTTTAAGTTAAAAAAGGTTCTCTGCGAAGCACTGGTCTTGTGTCACCTTAACTATTGCAACTTTGTGTATGGTCCTTGCTTAGATGTATTTACTAAGGATAAACTCCAAAAAGTGCAGAATTCTTGCATACGACTTATTTACCAGCTTAGACGTCACGATCATGTGAGTCATAAACTTTCCGAACTGAAATGGTTGAATGTTTCCAATCGAGAAAAGCTGCATTTTGCTTGCTTTCTTCATAAATTGATTAAAACTAAAAGCCCTCCATATCTGTTTGAAAAATTAACTCGTAGAAATCTGATTCACTCTCGTGCAACACGCTTTAATGTACTTTATGAAATACCTAAAATAACTAAAACCATGACTCAAAGCTCATTTTCCTATACATCAGTCAAACTTCTAAACCAATACAATATAGGTCAATTTGAAGATATGTCTCCTAATATGTTCAAACGAAAACTGAAACAACTGCTTCTGTGAAGTATAAGTTGTTTATTATTGCTTATTTTCTTTGTATACGTACATCTGTTGTTATTGTTGTTCATTGTTGTTATGTAATATTCTAAAATTAATGTAATGTAAAACTTGTTTCTTGTCATATTACTTTTCTTTTTGGCTTGTTGTTACTTTTTACATGCTCGGTTAAGTTAACAGCATAGCTGGCCTTCGCCGAGTTTAAAATAAAGGCGTTTTTATTTATTTATTTATTTATAAGGAAATAATTATTGAATATAGTAGCGGTAGTTTGATTTTGTGATAAACATTCTTTAATAATCAGACAGATTGTAACATAGACGTGGTCTCTATGGTAAAATCTATATCATGTAGGGTTAACTAAGGATTGGCAATAAAGGTGCAAATATCTTGCTGTCATCATTTGTCAGACGTTTCTAACCTCAAATCGACTAAATGTCTATCTTTTTCATTAATATTTGCTTATTAATTTTTGCATTGCAC